TCCAGTCTCTTCTTAAAAACTTCCAGTGTTGGAGCATTCACCACTTCTGGAGGCAGGTTGTTCCATTGGTTAATTGTTCTAACTGTCAGGAAGTTTCTCCTTAGTTCTAAGTTGCTTCTCTCCTTGATCAGTTTCCACCCGTTGCTTCTCGTCCTGCCTTCAGGCGCCTTGGAGAATAGCTTGACTCCCTCTTCTTTGTAGCAGCCCCTGAGATATTGGAACACTGCTATCATGTCCCCCCTCATCCTTCTCTTCGTTAAACTAGACATACCCAATTCCAGCAACCGTTCCTTATATGTTTTAGCCTCCAGTCCCCTAATCATCTTTGTTGCTCTTCTCTGTACTCTTTCTAGAGTCTCAGCATCTTTTTTACATCGTGGTGACCAATTGATAAAAGAAAAATGGACAAACAAAATATTATTTATCAACAATTAAAGTACCAAACAAAATAAGAGAGAGAGAAAAGAGTGAAATGAGAAAAAAGAAGGGTTTCATTTCAGAAACCAGATATCTGATTTTCCTCTTCTTACTACAATTAATTCCTTAGGAATTTTCTTTTTCCAGTTAGTCAGTTTTTCATATGAGGGTAAAATTTGATAAACGAAGTATGTACTTAGCTATGAGTTATGGCCATTTGATCTATAATCATTCTTGGATTTAATTTTTCTTAAGTAATATTGAGAAGCAAATTTAAAGTATAACCACACCAATTTGCTTTATTCAACATTTATAAATAAATTTAATGCAAACAATAAAAATGTATGCTTAATTGTCAAAAACAATTACATATATCATTAAACTCACCTTTGATGTGCTATATCTATTAATGAGTGATATATATATTCATCATGTTTAATTTTGAATGTAAGAAAAAACATAGTTTGATTCTTTTATTTGATAATTAATTTTGTTGTACATTCATGTTTATTTCTTAGAAGATACTTACTAATTTCCCCAAATACCAGGTTGTAAAGTAGAGAATTCTATATTAGAAAATAAGACTGTATTGGAATGAAGTTATATTTGTCTTTTTAAAAATCTTTCATTCCTAGTTTTGCTTTATTTTATCAACATACTATCTTTTGAAGGATACCTACTTTGTGAAAATAAATTAAGAAAACATGAAACTCACTATAGTAAACTCATATCATAGAAGATGTTTTGTGGAAGCCCGAAGCAATAAAAGGCAGCACATTGTACAACAATAAATTATTGTAAATTTTGCAAATTTACCCGGTAAATAGATAATCAGGAAAGAATACTAAAGACTGAGAAAATTCTCCTATGTCTGTATAGACCGTCTATCAATTTCCCACTTTAGTATATGGCTCTATTCTCTCCTCAAGGATTTCTGTATATTCAGACACATTATTAGATCATCCATTCCCAATTCTAGATTTTGAGATGGGACAAAACTTGCGTTTCTTCTTTAGAGAGTCTTTTCTTCTACACTTATATCCATTCTTCAGAGATATTATATTACCTCCTGAAATATTCAGTTCTAATACAATAAATTATTTAATGGTAAACTATGTATAAGACTACTTTATTATACTGATTTATTTAATTCAGAAATCATCTTAGTGAATTGTAGAGATCTTTGCAGTATTAAAACAATGGGATATAAGAAAGTGGGCTAAATCATCAAAATCCTCAAGAAATAAGAAAAGGATCTCATTTATCTAATACTAAAAAAAGTATGCTCTGGAATCTGCAATCTTTTCTAACTGATACTTTCTGTCAAGAAAACAGAATTAATAAAGATTTTTATATTGATATAAATTTCTGAAAATGATTAAATTACCAGAACGAGCCAGAATGAGCTAATAAAAGAGAAATGAGGAATATAAAAATGCGATTATAAGGAAGAGACAGGACCGGGTTGGTTTTGGTGCTTTTGATTTCCTTTAAGGAAAGCTCTATATATTTTCACATAGAGTCTAATTTCTATTGTAGTTTAGTGCCGAAGAATTACCAACACATCCTAGCCTTGGTATTTGCAGTGAAAGAGATCAATGAAAACCCTCATCTCTTACCAAATGTCACCTTGGGTTTCCACATTTATGACAGTTACTTCAGTTCACAGAAGACTTACTATGCCATAATGTTATTGCTTTACAACTTGAAGAGTTTTGTTCCTAACTACATCTATGGCATCCACAACAATCTGACAGCAGTGATTGGGGGATTGGACTCTAAAACCTCAATTGACATTGCAAATATCTTGGATATCTACAAGATTCCACAGGTAGAGTATATCAGCCTCAGTATATACCGTGTTTTCCCAAAAAGAAGACTCAGCCCTAGCTGAATAAAACCTAGCTTGATTTTTGAGGGTGGGCCTAACATAAGCCCTATCCCAAAACTAAGCCCTAGTTTTGGTGCAAGGTGCACCCCTAAAAATCAAGCTAGGGCAGGGGTAGGGGGGTGAAGCTGCCCCACATGTCCCGCACCCAATTACCTTACTGGTGTTATATTATTTTTTCCTCCAAAAGAGGCACCATGTCTTATTTTAAGAGGGTGTCTTACCTTAGAACACCACAGCCAGGCCTCCCACACCCCGATACCTGTCGCTCCAAAGCACCATGCAGCATCCTGCTGTGAGCAGTGGCAATGGCGCAATGCATTACATGGCATCCCTTATTTTCAGGAAAACACAGTATATATAAGTATTGGAGAATACTATCATTTTTTATGTCTCTGGATCTACAAGATTTTTTAAATCTGTAAAACAGATTTTCTTTTCCTTCTCTCTCTCTCTCTCTCTCTCTCTCTCTCTCTCTCTCTCTCTCTCTCTCTCTCTCTCTCTCTCTCTCTCTCTCTCTCCCTCCCTCCCTCCCTCCCTCTTTCATTCCGCCCCCCAAAAAACTTGGTTCAGCTCATCTATGGCTCTGCTCCAATCATGAATTATAAAACCCCAGGCCTTTCCTTCTTTCAAATGAGCCCTATGGAAAGACTTCAGTATGACGGGATTCTATCTTTGCTCCTCCATTTCAACTGGACATGGATTGGCATTACTGTGATGGATAATGATATTGGAGAACGAGTTCTAGATATGATCATTCCACTGTTTTCTAAGCATGGCATTTGCTTTACATTCATAAAAAGAATTGCCTACCTATATTCAGTTAATGGATTATCTTCTGTTTTTGAACAAGGTACAAAATTATATGATAAAATTATGACAACCAAAAGCAATGTTATGATTATCTATGGTGAGTCCAATGCCTTGGTTTTCCTGAGATGGTTACCATTTCTTTCAAACAAAGAACATGATAGAGATGCAATAAAAGGAAAAGTATGGATATTGAATTCTCAAGCAGAACTTGCATCAACTGTCTATCAAAAGGACTGGGATACTCAAATAATCCATGGTGCTCTGTCCTTCACAATTCATAGCCACAACCCCCCAGGATTCAAGTCTTTTCTTGAAAGTAGAAATCCTCTGAAGCCAAAAGCAGATGGCTTTATCATAGACTTCTGGCAACATGCCTTCAATTGTATATTTCAAACTTCACTGGTTGACGAGGTGGTTGGAGAACTCTGCACTGGGAGAGAAAATATGAAAAACCTTTCTAAAATTGTTTTTGAAACAAGCATGATTGGTCACAGTTACAGCATCTATAATTCTGTCTATGCAGTGGCCTATGCTTTACATGCCATGTTGTCATCTAGATTTAGACATAGGAAAACAATAGTTGAAGGGAGTTTGAACCTTCTTAATCAAGTTGCCTGGCAGGTAAATGGCAAGAATATCCTCAGGTAATCAGGTAAATTACAATGCTCTTGTAAATAGCAAGAGCATCCTCAAGTAACATATTCTAAATGAAGTTTTAAACCATCTTTTATTCCATTTCCATTCCTCTTTCCTATTAACAGGAAATTTTATTTCAATTGAGTTATGAGTTCCATATTCCTCCTCGCCCTACTAGATATTTTCCCCAAACATACAACTATATTTTTCTAAAACTCTGCCTTTCCCATTTGATTCTAGGTGCATCACTTCTTGAAAGGTCTTTCATTTAATAATAGTGTTGGGGATGAGGTTTATTTTGATTCCAATGGAGAACTACTAGCTGGTCTGGATATAATGAACTGGATTCTTTTTTCGAACAAGTCCTTTGTTAGAGTGAAAGTTGGGAAGGTAGATTCTGGAGTTTCCACAAATCAAAATTTCACAATTAACGATGATGTCATAACATGGCACAGCTGGTTTAACCAGGTAAGATTCAAAGATTCTATTCTATTCTATTCTATTCTATTCTATTCTATTCTATTCTATTCTATACATAATAAAAGATCAACAATGATAAACTGAAAGAGGTTAATATTAAAAGAAGAAGCTTTCAAAGATATTAACAATCACCACTACTATTTGTCATTGCACTGATCCCTCCATCAACGATATTGAACTAGTCAAGTCATAGTTATCAAACATGGAAAATATCTACCAGGCTATCCCATCTCCTTTACATCAGTCATCTGAAGCTTTAATAAAAACACTATGTGAAATGGAATCACTGCTGAACTCTGTCCATATTCAGACAAGTTATTGCAATATGGTTTGGACTGGAAAGTGTGCCACCCTGATCATCAACAGATAAATATTAAAAACTAAAGGAATGAAGATGCCCTTTGGAAATAACATCAAGAATCTGGATGAAGACGATTACTACAAATACTTAAACATCCTTCAAGTTGACAACATCAAGCATGCATATTAACGCCAACACCACCTTAAGAATTGGTAGCTGTGAATTCATATTATTGTGAACAAATAGTAATTATAGTAAGATAAGGCTCCTCAAGTTTCTTCCTCACTTTTGTATTTATGAACATATAATTTTAAAACGGTATTGTAAAATTTTATTTTTATTCTATTTACTGTCTATCAGAATAAAAATGTAGTCTCCAGAATATTAATCATAATGACATAATACTTTTATCTAAGCGTAACAGATTGTTAATCAGGACAAGGAACAATTATACAGATGGTAAAGTCTGCCACTAGGTTTTAGCTAGTGGTATTTTATCACCTACTCTCACTCAGTGTTGAGCAATGAATTGACCACTGCATTTCCTAAATGAAAAAAAGCTTTCTAAACTCCTATGCACAATATTAATTCTTGCAATAAATATAAATACTAGCACCTACTAAAGTGCATGCAGTTGAGCCCATTAATAATAAAGATATCTGAAAAGATAGCTCAAAGTCAAATACTCAAGATTGCCATTGTTTTATATATTATATTATATTATATTATATTATATTATATTATATTATATTATATTATATTATATTATATTATATTATATTATATTATATTATATTATATTATATTATTATATTATATTATATTATATTATATTATATTATATTATATTATATTATATTATATTATATTATATAATATTATATTATATTATATTATATTATATTATATTATATTATATTATATTATATTATATTATATTATATTATATTATATTATATTATATTATATTATATTATATTATATTATATTATATTATTTATTTACATAAACTTATTTACATAAACTTATATGCCGCCCTTCTCCCTATAGGACTCAGGGCGGCTTACAGCATATTAAAACACACAAACGCCATTCCCCATAAAACCAATTAAAAACCAAATATTTGTCGCTGTATAGTTATTAAGATTCGAATTAAAATTGTCCCTATTTAAAATTCTCCCTAGGCCAGACCCGCTTGTTGAAAAAGCCA